CTAATATTTACACTACCAGCTAAACTTTTAAATCCTATTTTTTGTAAAGCTGATATGTTCCTCAATCTAATTATTAAAAATTCTCGAGTCACAGCTAAACTTACTGATTACTAATTCTGATTTGAGTATAACCCATGAATTAAAAATGGCTTCCAAGTGCCACTCTGTATCCCAAAGGAGTTTCTCATGAAATATTCCCCAGAATGTATTCATTGTAAAGAAAATGCCAATCTTCGCCTCTTTGCTTTAACTTAATTGAAATACCAGGGCCCAACAGAGAGAACAAGCTGAGCATCTGTATTTCTAGATAAAAGTTGTTATCAATGTATAAACTCTTTGTGTGATTGGTGATGTTGGAAGCATTTTAGCACAAAACAGCCTTGTGTCTTAGATGATATCTGTAACCAATTTCTAGATCTTGTTGGATAAATCTGTATTGTGATATCTATTTGACCTTAATAAAGTTATTGCATACATTGCTGGCTGAACAATGGATGATTACAGCCGTAGAAACTAGTTGATTATAACAACGAAAGGACAAGCATTAAATCATTGTTTCCAATCTCTCACGATATCCTTGTTGCATGAGCCCAATGTTCATTCATCCATTCCACCATTCTAGGACTTCCTATGCACCTATGCCACCACGATACGACAGCGAGCAAGAGCAAAAACAGGCCCTATGTCGGTCGAGAAGGTTACACTCTACTGGGGGAGACAGACATTAAAATAATCCCACCCCAGTGATGCTATGTGCAAGAAAGAGAGGCACAGAATTCCATAAGAATATCTATTACAGAGATCTAGCTAGGGAAAAGTCAAGGAGCTTCAGACCTGAAGACTACACAGGGTTTAGCAAGGACAGGGTGGGAGGGAAGAATGTCCCAGGAGAGAACAGCCTGGCAAAGCTCTCTGATGGTGGAAGACAGCGTGGATATGTAGGGTTTGCTGGGGTGCAATGAGCAAGGCTGGCTTTGCGGGAACTGTGGCTGCTGGAGGGTGCCTGGGTGAAACCTGCCCAGATGCCTAATCGGGAATTCTGTCTTTATCCTAAAGAAGCCAGGGGAAATTGTTGAAGGGTTTTTAAGCAGGGGAGGGACATGATGAGATTAGCATTTTCAAAGGATCTCAGCGGCTGCAGGGTAGAGAGTGGATTAGAGGAGGACAAAAGAGGATGTTTTAAGGATGAGGAAATAAGCCTTAATTCCTGACATCTACTGGGCAGTGGGCTGGCAGTGGGCGGAGGGGAACTGGCATGACTTCTCCTCCCTCTTCCCACCTCCCCCTTTTTTCCTGGGGTGGTGGCCGAATCTGACTACTTCCGTCAACACTGCCCAGAAGAGTGGCCTCAGCTTCATAAACTGCCATGAACTCTCCAAAGCAGAGAAATCCTCATAACCAGCAGTGATTTTTACCAGCCTCAGCAGTTCCAAAGTACATTCGGGGCCCTGATAAACGGAAAACACTACCTGCCCCGGTTGAGAGAGAGACATGCCTCCACAGTCCGCTGCAGATTCGCAATAAAGAGCGGCTATAATCCAATGGAGGTTTTGCTAAACTGATTTATGCCTTCTGGATTCAAGAAAAGATCAGTATATCTGGCCTTTAAAAAAAAAAAAAGAGTAGTAGGTGCAACAGGCGAGTCTGGGTCTATGTGTCCAATAGACCTAATTTGGAATCCCAGCTTCACTGCACACTAGCTGTGTTTCCTAGCTGTGACCTCGCCTTCCTGAGCCTTTGTTTGTAGGGAGGAAAAGCACACACGTTGGAAGGGCAGGCTCTGAGATCAGACTGTGTGGTTGAGAATCACTATGCTGCCAGCCATGGACTTGACTCTCCTTTTTCTTCCTGAATGCATTCTCCAAAATTCTGGGACCTTTCTGAAGCAATAGCCTCCAACCAAGTGCAGCCTGGAAAGGTATGAGAGTTAACACCCCAGGGACCACCTTCCACCATTGGGGAATGTGCACAGTCAACAAATGCCTTTGGCAAGATAATTTCTCCTTCATTCAATGAGGATAACAGTCATATATGTCTGCCTCACACGATTGATATCAGGATACAGTAAGACATGTGGCCTTGTAAAGGAATTAGAACAGCTTCTGGTACCAGTAGGCACTCTCTGGGTTTGAGTTCCCCTGAAAGCAGGACCTAAGACAAGGGCTGGGTGCAGGCGATTTGTTTAGGAGGTAATCCCAGGAGGCAGGAGCGAGGGAGTGGGGAGACCGAGACAGGGAAGGAGGAGAAGCCAATAAAAGGGTGTGCTCATGATGTTACTGGTGAAGGCGGTAGGAGCTCAGTTTCCTCGGGGTCTCTGAGTAGTGTTCACATGGCTCCAATAACTGTCCATCAAGCAGAGGAAGCTGGAGTAGTTATCCAGCAACCCTCAGCCCTCACTGATTGAGAGTTGCCCACAGGAGTGGCAACTTTTCCGCATTTCCATGTGTGCTTGCCTGTAGACGGAGCAGGCTCCTAGGACGTTAGAGAAATAAGCCTCGAGTCCTAATGTCTATCGGGCAGTGGCTAGGTGAAGGGGAGAGGGGAGCTGGCATGAGTCCTATCACTGCCCTCCGCTTCTTAATTCCTGGGGACAGTGTCCTCCAGGAAGGATAAAGGGGGAGTCTTAGAAGGTATATGCCTGAGGGAGGTCACTGTCAACATGAGCCAGAACTATTCTTCAAGCTGTGGCTAAAATGAGAGGCTGACCAAGGGACCGCAACATAGGGCATCAAAATTACCTACTACAGTGATCGGTGAGTGTTCCTGTTGTCCCTTAGTCTGGAAAATAGGGCTGCAGATAATCCCGCCTCATCAGATGGTGACAAGACCTGACCTAACCTGGTTGTGCGTGGAAAAGTTTGACCAATTGTCTAGCACTCGGTACAGTTAGTTGGCTATTGAATGTTGAGGTATAAATCTACTCCACGTTTATTTTAATAGACACCTGAGTTTTTATAAGTCAAACTTCTAATTGTACCAAGGTGAGCAAAATACAGTGCCTGATATCTTGGGAGCTTACACTGAAAATTGGAAGATTCAAATAGTAGATAAGTAGGCAAACCAAGTCTGTCAGGATAAATTTTGATTCATGCTATTAAAAAAAGAAACAAGGGAAAAGGGTGGGGAGGAGTGGAATAGGGTGGTCAGTGCAAGCCCCCCGGAAGAGGTGACGTGTAAGCGGAGACATGAAGAACAGGAAAGGGCCAGTCCTGATAGAACATTGCAGTCAGGGGGACAGTGCATCTGAAGACGGAAAAGGGGAGACTGCCCGGTGCCTTTGACGGACTGATAAGAGAAAAGCTATCAGGGCTGGACACACAAGGAGAGGGTCCGGAGTGGTGGCTGCAGAGTCTGGGAGAGCCAGATTACGAGGGGCCTAAAATTCTAAAGGATATGGAAAGCCACCTGGCAAACGAACAGGGCAATGATGTGATTCAATTTTCACTTTGAAAAGATCCCTCTATCAAATTCCTGGCTTTGATATTGTGCTACAGTTAGACAAGGTGTCACCATTGGGGGAAGCTGGGTGAAGGACTCATGGGACTCTATATACTTTATTTTTGCAACTTTCTGTAAATGGGGATGATGAGAATGGACTAAGTAACTCATCAATTCATTCAACGGCTATTTACTGAGCACCTACACGTGCCAAGCTCTGTTCTAGGTGCTGGGAATATAGATTTGAAGAAGATAGACACTAGCCTGGTGCTCGTGGAGTTCACAGCTCAGTGTTGGGCAAACAGGGAGCACGCAGGAAAAGAAAAGAAATTCAAATAGTGATAAATATTGAGGAAATAAAATAGGACGGCATGAAGGTGAGCAGCAGGGTTGGAGGAGAGTGTGCACAGAATGAGAAGCCAGCAGCCCTGGAATGAGAATGCAGTGGCCTGATTGAGGATGAGGGTCCCGTCAGCGTTCAGCAACAACTCAGGCTGGTTCTCGGGTCTTAAATATTGGTTTGGGGAAATCTTAAATAGTGGCAGAAAAACAATAGACTTCACTTGTAGAGAGCACTTACTTTGTGCTGTTCAAAGGTCATAACAGCTATATTTCATCTGATCCTTTCATCAGCCCTGCAAAAAGCTAGATGCCATTGTCCGCATTTGAAAGTGAGTGTCCTAAATTGATTTTCCCCAGAAGCCGACTCTGAGACAGGACTTCAAGTGTAAGTAGGCGGTTGGGGAAGCGAACCAAGGAAGGGAAGGAAGGAAGCCAATAAATCTTGCATTACGAGAAGGTTACAGCTGTGGGGAACTAGGGCTCCATCCTGCCCAAGAAGATGAAAGATGATGCAGAACGCCGCCCACAGTGAGCACAACCCAGGAACAGGAGCTGCGGTATTTATCCACCCACTCCTGTCGCTCGTTGAGTCAGAGCCGCTGTGGGAGCGGGCGTATTCCCCAGCACTTTCAGACCACCCTGGGCATGGGCCACAGCAGCTGGAGAAAGCTCCCGGCAGTGGCACAGGTGTCGGCAGTTGGAGGCTATTAGGGGGGTGCGCTCACCCCTAATGGTGAGTCCTCAGAGGACACGGGGTGGGGCACCAATACCGTACGCCACGCTGAGGTTCAACAATGTTAAATAGCTTGACCAAAATTCTCTCTTCTTTTAGTCCTGAGAGATTTTTATTAGCTCCCCAGTCTACCCAGCGTATAAATATAAATTTAGCCCCAATATGCCATGTGATTTTATCTAGAGGTACAAAGATAACAATTTTAATAACAACTATAAAGTAATACCTAACACGTATTAAGTGCTTACGATGTGCCAGCCACTGAGCTAAGCACTCACATTTCACCACGACAGCACTATGCGACAGATGCTGGTATTCCCCCTACGGAACAGTTTAGAAAACCAAAGTTCAGAGAAGTTAGATGACAAAATCCTTGTGAGCACCTTCACTAATAAAAACAGTTTTTAATTGCTACTATCTACTACATATCTACTCTGCTCAGAGAACTATGTTACACATTCTATATCCATTTTCCTGTTGAATGCTCATAGGGAATGCAAGATAAAATGCTATTTTTATACCCATTGAGCAAATGGGAAAACCGAGATTCATAAAGAGTAGGCAACCTGCTCGAGGTGACTGAGCTGGACATGGGCAGAGCCCACTGTATGCAACAATCCAGGTCTCTCTGCATCCAAAACCTTTTGCTCTAAACCACCTCCTGGACCACACAGGTTCGATTGTGTTTTGAGCCAGATGTTCTTTGCCTGTCCAACAAGGGTGCAATCAGCACAGACCCAGACCATCACGCGCTTCATTTAACCTTCTATAGTGATGCTGAGTCCCTAAGAGTTGGAAGGAAATTTTTTGTCAGAATCATTTGCCAGCATGAACGAAGTCAGACCCAATTCACTGAATAAGTTCATTAAGTCATTAAGATG